TGATTGATTGATTGAGTTGAAAAACTAAACTCCAATGGTTTGATCGACGGACTTGTGGTCGAAGGTCCGTCTTCCCGATAGGAGTTATAATGAGCACGTGCTCTGCCAATACTGAAACAATTTTTCGTTTTCAAAGTTTCAATCCAGACTATTTTGGAGCAGATGTAATTTTCCATACATGTAAGCTAACAGAAGGTTAAAGGTAAAAGCGAAATTAAAATCCTACGCACGCAAATCTAAATGAAGGGGTTTCTTGACGCGGAATAAGATATAGCCTATGATATTATATCTTATTTTAAAAACCAGTGATTCTTGCGAAAACTGCCGTTAGACGAGAATCTACATCAGAAACGCCGACAAGGTTTACCGGAATTTGTTGCCTGATTAAAATTGGCGAAAGTTAACAGAACAGTATTGGAAACGGCTGAAAATCAAGTTGAATATAATTATCTTAGCGATAGTTTTCCGGTTTTTCTGTCGAATAATTTTTTTTTTCCGGTTCACAATACGCCAGATCACGTTTATTATTAATTTTCCTCTTGGATTTTTCCATAGAATCTGCTCCTTGAAAAAGGATCAGACACATTCTATAACAAAAAAATGAACTAAATTAATTTGAAAATCCTAAAGGGAAGCGAGAGGATTGCCTGAAATTCTAATGCTACATGCCATACGAAAGGAAGTTCTTGGATTAACAGGTAAACAAAAATCAGGGTGAACATTATGATTACAGCGAGAGTTTTCGGCATCCTTTTTGATTAATATTCTAAGCTTCACAACTGAATATTCAAGACCGAAAAATTTTGTCGATTAAAAATTTTACCGATAATAAAACTTAAATATATAAAAGTACTAATTAAAAATTCGTACTTAAAAATTAAGATTAAAACTAAAAGTAAAAGTAAAAAATTAAAATTCTTATCGCAATATTTCTAACAGAACTTTAATAAAAGTGTTCTTTGAATAAGCAAGTCTTTATAGAAATTTTAAATTTTGAAATATCATCATGCATGGGCTCTGGCAAGGAGTTCCAAATTGTAGGTGCTGCAAACGAGAATGATCTTCAGCCATATTTCTTCAGTTTTGCTGATGGTATTGTGAGAAGCCTCTTAGAAGAAGATCTTAAGCTTCTTGATGGTTTGTAGGGTTGCAATATTTCTGTGATATAGTAAGCTGGGCTCGACGGCTAGTAAAGACGCAATGAACAGTCGATCTAATCGAGATGCGAATCAATTAACAATTACTGCTTTCACACTTACTACAAAGTATCACCGTGCTCCTCAAGCAAAACAGTGCGACTGCAAGGCGTAGAACCAACTCAGTTGTTATCATATCTTCTTGAATAAAGAATAAGCGAATGGCCCAGA